AAATTTACATGGGATATGACTTTTTCAGATGTAAAATTTCGATTTTTTTTGAAAATTTCCTAATAAAATGATGAAATTAAATTGAGAAATTTGTATCGCAAAAATAATAAATGTTAATGAAATAATTAATTTTTTTTAAAAAATGCGAGTTAGACGTCTTTTTAAATGTTCACGTTTAACGTAATTTTAACTATTTTCGATATATGTTTGAACTATTCGATATGTCCATAATATAATTCTTGAAATAAGCTTCAAAATTATACAAACAATTTGTAGATTCGATTAGCGTATGATCGTCAGAGGATTTTTAAAATTTGTATATTTCGAAATTCAAATTTATTTTGATTTTACCCCTATTTGGTGAAGATTAAAATCAAATTTTTAGTAAATTTTGGTACAAATTAAACAGTAATGGATTCCATGAAATTTGTTATTAAAATTAATCTTTAACTTTTATTTAAATTAAAATTCAAATTTCAATCGATAACAAACGTAATTTTAAAAAAAAAAAAATCTCAAAAGTTGGGGGGCACCTGTCCCCCAGGACCCCCCTTGGGTATGCCCCCGACAAAAGTCACACCAAATTCTAACAATCTCCACCTTGACATATTTAAGATAGGGTCTTTCGATCCCTCCATTGTTTCTCTTCTATAGTTCAAATTGTAGGCATCTTATCAAATTCCAACAGCGCATCGTTCAAATTCAACTGAGCGAGTACTACTCGCATCTTTACCTGCCACAAAGAGAATTTTGTATTGCAATCCAATAGCGGAATATAATACTTCATTGTTACCATCACGAAAAACATATATCTTCTCAAGAATTTCAACACCAAAAGCTTGTTATGGATTGAAATGCTCTAATACCAGTTTGTTGAAAGAAAATAAGAGATGATAACCACACTATGAAGTAAATATCACAAGAACAAAAAAATAAAATAATTTTGCAGAGAATGAATATTTTATTATAATATGGAGAAATAATACAAAGATTATATGTTTGCAGTGTTTATAACTTATTCTATCATTTACTCCAAAATCTTGATTTTCTTCATCCAAATATCTTCTCCAAGCCAACACAAATTTCTACTCCCAATGGGCATTCAAGTAGAACTTTAATTAGAATTTATCAAGTAAACTTAAATAAGATTTCACAATTGCATTTCAAATAAAATTCTTCTTAATATGCACTTTAATTATAACTCTCAAATATTTTCAATAAAGAATTCGGGTCACATCCAAATTCTAATAGGTCTTTGGGTACTCTACACATGGTATCATCTTAACGGACATGTTCTCCTGTCCATAATGGAAAATCTTATTATGCCAACTCGGAGAACCCAACGTTGGGTTTTCACATTTTGAGAGAACCCAACGTTGGGTTCTCCTGCCACATCAGAAGGTGGGCAGTCTTATTCTGCCCACCGTAGACAGGAGAACAATTCCAATCATCTTAATAACTCATATGTGAAGCTCAATAGTGCCACGTTATAGTCATCATAGGCAAGTGACTTTTCACACCCTATCTCAGGCCGATAAGGATGGTTTTGACTATGGTACCAATTGTTATTATTGTAAAATTATCGATAATGATGGTTTTGACTGTGGTACCAATTGTTATTTTTGTAAAAATGTCACATCAATCAGATCACATATATGGTGAAACATATCAAGTTGCATTTTACTCAAGGTAACAAGAATTGACCTCAACCTCCTCGGGCTCGAGAGGTCAACTTGTAGCTAAGGGTTAGATCTCTTCTCGTTATAGAGTTTGTAATCTAAAATTCAATTCTTGTCATGAATTAAATCATGAATTAAATAAAACTATTGTTCAAGTCTTTTTCATGGGTGAACCTATTCCGCTTTAATAGTGTGCCTATAATACGTGTAAGAATAAACGCAATCAAGAGTGCTCAGTTGAGTGATGACTGATAGTCGTCAACTCAACTTCACTGGGGCCCACCACATTGACCAAATCTTCGGTTCACACTTCTCCTTCTGTGTAAAATGGCCCCACTTTTTATGCTTTGGAAAGTCCAAAATTTGCCCTGATCAAGCAAAAATTTAACCCGGAATTAGAATTCAAATTCAAAACATTTTGATTGAAAGTGATAGCAAGTTGGTTATTGAAGCACTTCAAACTGATAGCATGCTAAATTCTTCTTTAGGAGTGTTGTATCGGGGAGTGAAACTCCTAGCCACCCGCTTTGTTAACTGTAAATTTTCCCACATCTATAGGGAATGTAATAGGGTGGCTCATAACCTTGCTAGGAATGCAAAATTGGTTGATGATATTTGTGTTTGGTTGGATAGTATTCCAGACTGTATTTCTCAAGCCATCTGGCTTGATAATTGTCTGTAAACGGTTTATCCAGTTTTATGAAAGTTTCTTTCATATCAAAAAAAAAAAAAAAATAACAGAGTATCATTTGGTATTCTAATCAAGAAAGTAAGCAAATAATTCTGTACACCAAGAATGATTGTTTTTGAAAGGGTTANCTATAAATTATAAAGAATTTGATGGATTTGAATAGATTTTTATAAAATTCAAAAGAATCTTATTAAAAATGGTAAAATTTAAAAAGAGATTGTTATATGTTAACCTTGAAATCCATCCAAATCTTTAATGATGCGTTTGATTGCGAGTATGAAATTTGCATGAAAAAAATAAATTATATGTAATTGAATTGCCTAAAAATTATTTGTATGAAAATTATTAATTAAATGTATTTGATTTATTTAGATTTCAACTTAGAAAATATTATACTTGTCCATTTTTTATTGGTGGGTAGATGAGAGAGAGAGAGAAAGAGATAGTGAATTATTTGGGAAATAAAAACCACCGCACCCTAAAGAAAATATTTTTTGTGGAAAAATTGTTAATTAAACAGTACAAAAGTCGGAAATTAGATGGAAAAAATATATTTTCCATGAAAAATATTTGCAATAAAAAACGCATCCTTAAAATTTTTCTATTAATGAAATTCATCTAAATTCATGGATTATTGAGGACGCTCGAACTTTAATGAATTTCATTAAAATCTCATTTGCGGATATCTGAATTTAGAAAGATTTTTAAAATCTAACAAAATCTTAGTTGAAGACATTACCGTAAATCAAAGTCAACAATTAATTTTAATAATATATTTTATGGGATTCGCAAATTTTCAACCATAAATTTCATAAACTTTTATTAAAATTTTGCTAAAAATCCGATTGTAATCCCTTCCAAATATAGGCGAATTGGACTTCATTTTCTAAAATTTATTTTCAACAATACATTTTAAGAGATTCATAATTCTTATCAAATATTTATCAACCATTTGATCAATTTTTATTAAAATTTAATAAATATCTTATTTTTAACTAAATCAAACAAAAGCTTAAATTTAATGTAAACGTGGCAATTCACGGACATATGAAATTTGTACAATTTTTATATATTTAGACACACTATTTTTATTAGGTAAATTCATTTTTTTGGGGCACTAGTTATGTGATTTTGTGAAGTATGCTCCATTTGATCATACAAATTGTTTTGTTCCCAAATGAACGAAGGTAAAATGATGCGATTATAAATTATTTTTTCTTACTAGTAAAATAACATTTTAGGAATAATGTTATTTTACTAGAAGAATCTGATTAGATACAGTAACAGAAGACGATGTAGGATTGATTTGATGAGAAAGATAATTGTGTTTAAAATAATTCAATAATAAAATGTCGCGTGACATCATGTCAAACTTTGTGTTTATTCGATTGTAATTTTAGTAACATAAAGTCGTTGCCACGTAGACAGACATGAACAGTGCCTCGTGGTATCTGTTTCGAAGAGGACACATACGTGACACGTGCTTTTCGTCCTATGTGGCCCTCAGTTAGGGGCGACGTTTAAGCTGGAAAGCCAGCTTAGGCCAAAACTCATTAAGAAAAAGAGGATATGGACAAACGGTGTTAGTTGTCCGTCAATTACTGTCATTAAATTATGGGACACTTTAGTGATGTGGCAATGTTTGTTGTGGGGCCAATGTTAACGACCACATGGCTGCTGGTTGTGCATTTTGCTCTCAAGTGAACGAGAGTGTGTCAGATTCCTGACAGCACGAGTCGTTCACACGATTGGAAAAGTAGCACTAGCAGCCCACTATCACCCTATAGTTATTTCCTTTCGTGACTACGCTCAACAATTTTTCCTTTAATTCATCGTAAATTACAAAATCTGCATTAAATTCTCCTTCTCAATTTCCTCAAAATAAAATTCCTAAATTCTCCTCCTCAGTTTTTTCAATGATGGGCTCCACAATGGAAACTAGGCTAGAAAAAGATCAAAGGGGTTAAGTCCTGTCCTTTTCAAATAAATTAGTTCGATTTGATTTCTAATTGCTAATTTAATGTAAAATTGTTCCGTATAGTCAATTATTTATTACGTCTCGAGAGAGGAACAAGATTTATCTCGTTTTAAATCTCATTGATCATTGCTTAATCTTAATTAAATATTAGATTATGATAACTTGACTCATTCTGAAGGGTTAGTTCACTATTTCATTGTGTACAAAGTTCGAAGTAACGATAATATTTCTTAAAAACTTAGTACTCTTAAATGAGAGACTATTTGCCTGTTTGGTGTACATTAAAATGAGAGAATGTATTTTTTGAAGTGATGTGATGAGAAATATGTGGTTGAAAAAGAAGGAAAAGTTATTGATATAATAAAAAATATTATTTTATTAAATAATGTGTGATTGAAAATGAGTAGAAGAATGAAAATGAAAAAAGTAACGTGACTCAATCAAGGGGCTATAAGTGGACATGCTAAATTTTGTAATTATTATTAAGTTCATTTGTGGATTTTCCTCTAGTAAATGTTTTTAAAAAAGACAAGGGTATATTAGTAATACTACCCTCCCTCTCTCCCTTATATATTTGACACGATATCTAGAAGGCATTATATTATCAGCATCAATTGTCAGTGTCTTACCAATTCGAATATTAGCTGTATTAATGTCTGCCAAGGATACCCCCGCCACCGCAGCAGCGGCGGAGAAGCTGAACGGAGAGCCACAAACCGAAAACACATGTCCGGTGGAGGAGGTGGCGCTGGTGGTGCCGGAAACTGACGACCCCACACTCCCAGTAATGACATTCCGTGCATGGTTTCTTGGCCTGGCCTCATGTACAATCTTGATTTTCCTGAACACTTTCTTCATTTACAGAACACAGCCTTTGACCATCTCCGCCATTTTGATGCAAATAGCGGTGCTTCCCGTGGGCAAGTTCATGGCGGCGACACTGCCCACAAAGCAGTACACGGTGTTTGGACGGTGGAGCTTCAGCCTCAACCCGGGGCCTTTCAATGTTAAAGAGCATGTGATTATCACTGTGATGGCAAATTGTGGGGTGTCTATTGGCGGCGGTGATGCTTACTCCATCGGCGCTATTACTGTCATGAAAGCTTATTACAAGCAAAGCTTGAATTTCTTGTTGGCTCTCCTGATTGTGTTGACTACCCAGGTAAATTCATTAATCTCTCTCTCTCTCTGTCTCTCTCTACACAATTACACACAGTAATATTGTTTTTTTCCCTTGATCTGCAGATATTGGGATATGGATGGGCAGGGATGTTGAGAAAATACTTGGTTGATCCAGTACAGATGTGGTGGCCTTCTAATCTTGCTCAAGTTTCTTTATTCAGGTTCGTCTTTCTCACATTTACTGTTGTTTTTTTTCTCCATCAGTTTCTATTGTTTTTCAGTGGTTCTGTTATGGGGTAGATCATTGGAATTAATCATCACTGAACATTATTAGGAACAATAATTAGAAAGATCGGAATCATTAAAAACTAATGGTCTGTTTAGGATGAAGAATTGTCACCCTTGTTTCACTTTTAACAAACGTATCTATCAACTTTTCAACTACACAATTTATCAACGTTTATCAAAATCTACTAAATTTTTTATCAAAATATAGCACAAGACAATATTCAAACATAAAAGAATTTAAGATTTTTGTTTATTTTATCTTTCAAGTACTACGGACTAAATATTTAACGTTTATAGGGATGACTCCTTTTTTACTCCGTTCCTCTTATTGGCCGTCTCGATTGCATCATTTAATTGGTGGAGTTATGTGAATTTGCAAGTTTGAAATTTTTTTGTCTGAAAATGGCGTGTCTTGTATGCAAAGTATCTCTTAAAAGCTTAAAATCTTTACATCTGGGAAGAACTGAATAAAAGAACATTTCAAAAGTTCAAAAAAGTATATAGCTTTATGTGGGGAGTGGGTGAATAAAGTGAAACTGTTTTATGCATTGTATGTGAACCAGTTCATAAGAGTATATATACTGCATACATTTGTCTTGATTAGTGATGTAATTATTCCCTTATTCCCTTCGAGACCATTAATTTTGATGTATAGAGTTCATAAAGAGAGTAAATGAAAGAGAGTTTCTTCAATAGTTGATGGGCTTTGTTTGACATTCTCTTGCCATAAGATTCTTTGAAAAGACATGCATAAAGTTAAGATTACTGATCCAATAATCCACTTTGGATGGTGACCTCCAATGAATCTCAATGATAATGAAATAAATCCCCTTTTTGCCATTCTGTTCGGTCCATAGCTTGTCCTTGGTTTAGGTGCAACATTGTCAAAGGAGCTCATGATAAGGATGAACTTTGTAGTTTCTCATGTTCTTGTAGGTTATGTGTATATAATTAAGGAAATTTTGGTAACGTTTTTGTTATTGCAGGGCACTTCATGAAAAGGAACACAAAGCAAAAGGTCAAGGTCTTACAAGGATGCAGTTTTTCCTTGTTTTTATGGCTGCAAGCTTTGCCTATTACTTATTTCCAGGATATCTGTTTCCGATATTGACATTCTTCTCTTGGGTATGTTGGGCGTGGCCTCATAGTATCACTGCCCAGCAAATCGGTTCGGGATACCATGGACTTGGAGTGGGCGCCTTCACCCTCGATTGGGCTGGGATTGGGGCTTATCATGGTAGTCCATTGGTTACACCCTTTTCATCGATTCTGAATGTTGGGATTGGCTTTATCATGTTTATATACATAATTGTCCCGCTATGTTACTGGAAGTTCGACACTTTTGATGCTCGGAAATTTCCCATATTTTCTAATCAGCTGTTCACTTCTAGTGGACATAAATACGATACTACTAAGATCTTGACCCCACAATTTGATCTTAATATTCCGGCTTATGACAATTATAGCAAGCTCTACCTCAGCCCCCTGTTTGCCCTCTCGATTGGGTCGGGATTTGCAAGATTTACAGCCACCCTCACACACGTGGCATTGTTCAATGGCAGGTTGGCTCCTTACATGTTATATGTGCTATATGCGATGTATTTTTGATGACTCCCTTAATTGGAAAAATGACAATTTCTTTTCTAATTTGGCTAGTGATATTTGGAAGCAAAGTAGATCTGCGATGAAGAATGCCAGCCTCGACATTCATTCAAAACTGATGAAACGTTACAAGGGAGTTCCTCAGTATTGGTTCCTTGTTTTATTAGTAGGTAGCATTGCGCTATCCCTCATGATGTGTTTTATATGGAAAGAAGACGTGCAGCTACCCTGGTGGGGTCTCCTCTTTGCATTTGCTTTGGCTTGGATTGTTACCCTCCCGATCGGAGTCATTCAAGCAACTACCAACCAGGTAACTGCCCACAATCCGTTTCAAGTCATTTTAGTTTGATCAATGAATACTGCAAGATTTTAGCAGGGTTTTGAGAAATGTTTAATTCAGTGATTGATTATGACTGCTGTGCAGCAACCTGGATATGACATAATTGCTCAGTTCATTATCGGGTATATCCTTCCCGGGAAACCCATTGCAAACCTTCTTTTCAAGATATATGGACGCATCAGTACCATTCACGCTCTTTCTTTCTTAGCTGACCTTAAACTCGGTCATTACATGAAAATTCCACCACGATGCATGTTTGTAGCTCAGGTTTGTACCACAAGCCTTGTCATTACTCCAAATCACAATTGTCATCAGTATACATGGTATTAAGTACGTTCTTCTTAATTTATTTTTTTTCCTATTTCCAGCTGGTAGGAACACTAGTTTCGGGTACAGTCAACCTCGCAGTAGCATGGTGGATGTTAGGAAGCATTGAGAACATCTGTGATGTTGAGGCATTACATCCCGAGAGCCCATGGACATGTCCCAAATTCCGTGTCACTTTTGATGCTTCTGTCATTTGGGGTCTAATCGGACCTGAGCGGTTGTTCGGACCTGGGGGAATGTACAGGAACCTGGTCTGGCTCTTCCTCATCGGAGCATGCTTGCCAGTACCCGTTTGGATACTGAGCAAAATCTTCCCAGATCAGAAATGGATTCCCTTAATCAACATACCAGTTATATCTTATGGCTTCGCTGGAATGCCGCCGGCCACTCCCACCAATATTGCTAGTTGGATCGTTACAGGAACTATCTTCAATTATTTTGTGTTTAAATACAAGAAAACGTGGTGGCAAAAGTACAACTACGTTCTTTCTGCTGCATTAGATGCTGGAACAGCATTCATGGGAGTTCTACTGTTTTTTGCTCTGCAAAATGAGGGCAAAAATTTGAAGTGGTGGGGATCCCAGCCAGACCATTGCCCTTTGGCATCTTGCCCAACAGCTCCAGGGATTGTGGTCGAAGGGTGCCCTGTTTTCAAGTAGCCACACAGCAACTAAAACTAGGATTCCTCTTTGAACGTTATGTTCAAAGACTAAATATGTACAAAGACTAGATCGTTAAAGCTGGTCATAAAAAACTCGGCTACAATTTTGAATAACAGCTTGACTTTTAAATTTTAAGTGAATGTACAAGAAAATGTCCCTTTTCTAATAGGAATATTCAACTATTTTCCTGTTAATTAGATGCTTATCCCTCTAACAGAACAAAGTCCCAAACACCCTTGCAGTACTCCGACTAGAGGTGCAAAACTAGCCATAGCCCTTCTGATTGTTACATTCTCAAGAAAAGGATTTGAATCTGAACCAATATTGAGTTACGCAATTACAATAATCTTCAACAATTTTTCCATGTTGCATTGTTAGTATCATATCAGGTGGTGATGTCAAGAGTCCGAAAATAGGTATAATTGTAGTTGTTCAATTTGAAGTGAACAATTAATTTGGTGACTAGAGGAGCCTCCAATCTGGAATGAACCTCCATCCGCACAAGGACGAGCACTGATTACGGCTTTCAGACAACCGCGATTACTTTAGATCTCTAACGACACAGCAATGGAAAATGTAAACGAGAAGAAACTATCCAGGTTAAAAAAAAAAATAGAAGATTCCAACTGGTTCTTTTTCTGCAGTGACATTTCCTCTTAATGAGTATCCAAGAAACCACAAAATAGAGTTCTACAAGCAATTTAGGAGAAGCGAAGATATCAAAGCCGAAAGGTATAAGAAATAAAATAGACAGAGAGACGAAAAGGTCAAAGATAAACAAGGATAAAATCACAGAACTGGGGATAACTGCCCAAAGTATTTGCATTCCAAATAGATTTCAAAGTTCCTTGTATGGCTTTTTCCGAAGTTCACACAAGAATTTAGCCTGGCATTTACTATTGAAAAGCATATCAATTACATTTAGGGAATAAAGACTGCAATTTTTGCAGATTTCTGATTTCACCTCTTTATGGACTTGTAAAGCACGACTGTCACGTATTTTGAATGGAACCGATGAGTTGAACCAAGCGCCACGACTGATGGACTGCCCCTACCCTTGTGCATGTAGAGATGGTTTAGGACTACATGTTGAGGTCTTGAAAAGGGAGGTGGAATCTCCATTTGAGGTGCCGGAGCATTAAGCAAAGTCAACTGTAGATGTGGAGGAACCACTGGCGGTTCCTTAGCATAGTCCTCTGGACCGAGTTGCAGATTGTTGTAGCTGGCATCTGGGGACTGAGGTGGTTCGAATCCAGAAATGTTATCAATATCTTCTGGGACATATTCCTGCAGCATGCATTGGTGAGTATAAGTAGTTTTAAGTACGAACCTTCTATTGTACAGACGACTTGCAAATACACATATGTAGTACAACAAAAACAGAACAAGAACTTGTATCCAGATGCAATTTGCACCGTCCTGCAAATACCAATGAATCAATCAAGAAAAGTTTACTCGGTCTGGCCATTTGCGCAGGGTTGAGAAATTAGATATCTTGTGATCTTATCGACATAATGACATCTTTATGTATGGTATAGCTGTTTTATTATTCTTTTATTCTTAACAGTATTTTTCCATTTATTCTTTCGATGCACCAGACTCTACTCTGGCAGTCTGTCGCCAAACCTCTAGTTGCAAAACTATTAACACTCTCCTTAAACTCCCTCACAGAACTCTTCTTCTTAAACATAGTAATCCTCCACAAAAGACAAAATTTGAAGAAAGTTTCTGTTAGCAGAAGCCTGGGAACAGAATATTATTTTACTCAAAGCAGACTATTAAATCTTCGGCATCAAAATTTAAGCTTTCTATATGTTAGCTTCCAAGTTCAACAATCAACAGGGCAAATCGTGATTGATGATTTTTACACAACCATCTAATAATGTAAGTTAAAGAAAACAGAACTTAAAAATTAGACAGGAAGTAAGATAAACTAAGGTCCCGTTTGCCTCCAATTATTTCAAAACATTGTTTGTTACAGTAAGATTCTCCACCATACATTCACCCAATAAAATATTCTACACACAAACTAATAAAGTTACTTTAAATTTCAATTACACATTCTCCAAAAAATACTATTCATTACTCAATTTCTTCTACAATAATGGGAGACAAACACACGCTAAGTAAATTGGATGGCATGATTCTTCAAGATCTGTCCTATTTTCTAAAGAATGGCCATAAAGATGAGACTCCTCGAACAACTCCAATCTACTTCCTTCCTTCCTAATGTTTATATGGAAGCATCTTCTTATTCTTTGTTGGCAGAAGACCAAAGTACACAGAAATATTCCTTATACAAAAAAAAAAACTGCAAATTAAGTTTTTACCAACAGATCTTATGCACAGATTATCTTCCCAATCAGGATTGGCTCCTGATGCAGAAGTAACTCAAACATAAGAGAAATCCATTTCCCGAGATATACCCACAAAGAAAAATGCTGACAAAGTAATATAATTAACATTAATGCATTGCAATTTACTAAGCACCAAGTATATTATGTCACTTGCATCACAATGATGATTATAGCATAAAAACCAGCAACGTTCTCTAGTCTGTCAATTTTTTCCAGAAAAACGACTCCTCGTGGAAAATACTGGTTACATTCCTAGAGATGAGAGTGCCGGCTTGTCTTGATTGTAATAATACACAGCTAGGAAAGAATGCACACAAACACGCATATGCACACGCACCTGAGGGAATGATCATACTTGTTCAATATAAAAGGAAATGTTATATTCATTAGATAAAGAAGCAGCAGCCCAATGTTATATTGGGACAAAGTTGATGTTAAATTAGGCAACACAACGAGGTTGCTCAATGACATAAACAAATAATTCAACACTGAATCTCAGTGGTTTCAACTTCAGGTCAGCCGGTTATGCATCTTCTGATCAGACTTGCAATTGAATCAGAACTAACAGAAAAAAGGATCAAATTTTAGCATTAGATCGATGTCAACTTGTCCGAAATAAAATCCATAGAGTCCTCTTTAGTATCTTTGTACATATTTGGAAAAGAGAAATAAATAAATGAAACAAGTGGAAACTAAAAACGAGAAATCAAATGCAATCATAAAAAAGGTAAGCAATATCGACGAGGAGGAAACTTAGAAGAGAAAACAAAAATTACCTGCAAGTCTAAAATGTTGTAAGCATTGCCTGATTCATCCTGGGCCCATGGCAAGTCAGGAGAATACCTCCATTGTCCGTCAACAATGAACCTGTATTGATAAACTCCTGAAGGAAGTACTTTCATAATGGTAAAGTCTTTTCCTGATCTTTGCAAGGGTTTCCTGATAAAAGAATATCATCATTCAAAACTGCTTATAATTCTTGGAGCTTGAGTTAGAATTGGAAAATATATGGAGAAACCAATGCAATTCACCTTGTTTTCCAATCATCCCACGATCCTTCCACAGCAACTTCCTTGCCGTCAAGGCTCCACATAATCATTGTCGGAATACCTTTCTCATTACAAACATCTTCATACCGCGAAGTAGTTTGTATCCATGAAGGAATGGGAATGTTCAACTCCTCGGGTCTTTGTAAAGGAACCAATGGCATCTGAAAGAAACATGAGATGAGTAAACATCTAAACTCTAAGAGTATGTTTGCTATGTATTATTAGACTATTTTTTGGCATACAATAGACAAGAGTTCAACATTTTTTTCCTTATTTAGCCCCAGTTCGGTAGGGAATAAAGATTTTAGTCCAAGTCAAAATCAACAATTAATTATAACCACACATATTTTATGGCATCCACAACTTTTCAACTACACATTTCGTTAACTTTTATTAAAATCTACTAAAAAATCACCAAACGGGGGGCTTAATGTGTCCAATATTGTTTAATCTACCCTAGCAAACATGCCATAAGTAGACCAATAATCTTAACATTTCTGGTCGTTACAAAGATCAGATGGAAACTCCTAATGAAACTGCATTTTTTCTGCAAAAGAGAGCAAATCTAGGTTCTAAAAAACATAGACAGAGAAAAAAGGTTATAACTTGTAACGCCGTTGAAAATCTTATGCAACGTATTGGTTCTACATATTCGTGCTGAAAAAGACGAACCCATTAATACAATTTAAGGAGGATAATCAAATAACTACCCCATAACACCTTTCCCTTATGTTGATTATCCTTCACTGCTAACTAATCCTTAAAAAGATAAAATCTTTCTGGGAAATTTCACTATGTACGCATTACCTGATAAAATTAAAACCAAGTTCAAAAAGGAAAAGTAAAAATTAAATACTGAAACAAACTGTTTACTATATTCTCAGAAACACAATTATTGCCCTTCATAAATCTTATAATTAAAGAAAAGTTACGACTTTTTTTTTCAGATCCAGCCATAATAATTGGAATTTACTTTCACCCAAGCCAAATCTTACAACAACACCACATGATAAAATAGTTCAAAACTTAACTACAAAATTTCAGTCAACTGAAACAAAAATAAATAAATCTTTACACCTAAAATTTAAATTCAAAAGGAATCTTCATTAATATGAGCACAAACAATGAGACGAAATACTGAAAACCCACAATAAATAAATAAAATATATATGACCTGAGGTCTGAACATCAAAGGAGTGTGAGAAGTCCTAGGGCTGGGAGGAGGGGAATGACCCATGAATTCACCATCAGCAGGATCTTGATCAGCCATGCCATCCTGCGCGGCGCCACCACCCTCAACCCCAGATTGGCTGTTGTCGCTTCCTTCTTCTCTTCCACTCACGTTCCCCATTATTATTACTGCTACTATATTAAAATATTCTTTCTCACCAACCCAATACGAGAATGGGATCCTCTAAGATAAGAATCTGTGTATATTTATGATCATTCCTGCAAGAAGGAAAACCAAAGGGGTTCAAGAAGGTACAAAATTTAATAGTTAGATCAAGTACTTTAGTTGATTACTTTTTATAATAATAAAGGTGGAGTAAACAAATCTGAAAAAAAATAGGGTTGTGAAAAAATGATGCTA